GTTTTATTAAAATATACAATTAAATTAAATCAAACAGCTATTGATATTGAAGACATATCAACGATACAAGATGAAGAAGAAGTGTTAGTATTACCATTTTCAGTATTTAAAATTAAAAATATAATTGAAAATCGTCCAAATATGAGTTCACCAATGTTAATTGAAATTGATTTAGAAGAGTGTGAAGATGACGAACAAATAAATAATAAAAAACAGGAAAGTAAGTAGTATCATTATGTTTCAGATTTTTACTATAAAGGATATTGTGAAAGATATTTTCGATCTTAACTACTGAAACTAAAGAAAAAACGTAGACAGCAAACATTATGAAATACTTTTGTATGATTGATCAATCTGAAAAGTTCAAGCAATATGAGCAAACATCATAAATCTTCTATCTGAAGTCACTATATGATAGAGTAATTTGTAAAATATTTCTCGACCGCATTACTTTTTGAAAAAGTAGAACTTGCATTTAGTTTATAACTCAACCAATTTCAGTTAGTTGAGAGCAAACTTTATTTTGCATTCAGTATTTTATCATTTCTATACATATCCAAATTTTCAAGGCTTTATACTGATATTTAGAGTTTAAATAGGAATAGTACTTACTATTAGCAAGTACTGTGTGTATTATTTTTCTAATGCTATTTCTCTTTTCATAGAGGCAAAAGCAACAAGTTTGAAGAGATATATAAGATGTATTTGGATTCTTTAGATGAACCATTAACAAGTCTCCAACAAAGACGAAACCATATCAAATCAAAATTTTTATATAGCGGTATTGGACTTTGCATCATTTTCAGCTTGCTTGTGGCTGTGATTTTCATTGTAAAAAATAAATCCGTAGTGCAAAATCAACAATTAAAGAATCAATCACAGCACTCAGGTGTGCAAAGAACGAGTAAGAAGAATAGTCGTTTTTTTTAGTCGTGATGGTTCGTCCAGTCTGATCTTTTTTTCGTTTTGGACCTGTACATGACTAGCCCGAAATTCTTTGTAGTCAACAGCACATGCCTTGACCACTTGATTGAGGGATATTATTCTGTTTATTATGTCTAGTCGTTTTCGAGAAAAACAGGTAGACATGTTTTACAGTCCTGTCGCCCGTCCAGGCCCCACGCGAAGGTTCCACGATTGGGGTGTGTGGCGGATTGGGGATTTAAAGGAATGTATTCAAAAAAATCTTGTAGAAAAACCGTAAAATATGGACAAGATTTGCTCTTGTTGCTGGGAAAAACTGAAAATTTCTGGTTACTGGGGAAGGGGTGTACACTCCTCCATCCGTGCAGGGCCTGCACCCGTCCAATAAGATTGGGTAGTTCCATATGGTGTATCAAACACTTTATATAGAAGTTTTTCCGAACCGTCTCATTTATACCTCATCTGCAGGCCTCTATGAGTTATGTATACAGTAAAAAATTACGATCTTTTCACCTTCCATTGGATAGATACAAGCATCGCAAATTTAGGCTCGTTATAACATTCTCAAAAAGCACATCATTTTGTGATCCACATATTTTTAACATTATAAGGACTAAAATTAATTCCAATTATATATTCTTGTTCCTGCTCACCTGGTACATCTAGCTATATGCCATTTTCTAGTAACCGATGGCCTAGTGCAGAGATCCTCTGCACACACTGAAAAATAGACCTGAAATGTCGGATAGGGAGAAATCCTTTAAGTCGAATTCCCACATCTGACAATCTTGTGGATTTTGTAGAGCAGACTTGACTATATCAGACCGTGTTGTTGAAGTATTTTCTCCAGTAGCTAATAGTCAAGATATAACTGTCAACGTTCTTCCGAAAATTACAGGTAATCTAAACAGATTTCTTTTTCTGTTCCTTATAGTGGAAGAATGTTTCATAATAGAGGAATCCAATACAAATTGAAAATTCAATCATATAGTGTCATATCTCAGCTTACGATGCTTCGAATTATCCATAAAGATCTTATTTATATCACGCATGTGCCAATCTGTACTGATGGTGAACTACTTTTATAGAAAGTTGCTGTTAATTTCATAATTGTAGGATAGTTTCAGTTGATGTATAGTGTATTGTATAGAGCTTGGTCAATTCTGTAACTAGTATCTACAATCAGGTTTTGCTGTTTTTTTCGTTTGAGAGACTTGCCGACCACAAGGTTGCCCTCACACACATAACTAGGAACACGCCTGATCATCAGATTCACATTTTTTGAAGGTGTCAGAGAAATAGATAAGTTGTAATTGCATAATCTTCCTATCGAAGGTGTGATATATCTACACTGATACTCTCTTCATTTGCTTGTTGACCTAGAAAATGCTTCATTAGCATTCCGAGAACTATCGGCAAGGTTTCATCATTAATAACCATCTGTTTAGAGTTTCACACATCGGGAACTAGATGCATGTCAAAAGTCTACATTTGTTATGTGATTCCTGACGGAAAGACCACTGGGATGAAGTAGAAAATGAATGTGGAATTGAACTGTTTTGTCTGAGTAGAAAACAGCTGTGCGACTGTACTACCTCGGGCATCAGAAGAAGGTCTGCCATAGATTGTCGTGAGAGTACCAGGGATGAATTTTTCGACGAGAAAAAAGTTCGTTAGAAGATTTGAAATATATATGAGTCGATGCAGTTTTTGATGCTAATTACGAATATGTGGAAAATCGGTATAAGTCTACTTTATGTAAACATCTTTGTTTTTGCGACTTTTGGAAGTAAAGGTTGTTTATATAAACTAGATTTGTTCCAGAACTAAATATGCAGTTTTGTAGAGTGAACTTCACTTTATCGATTGGCGTATTTAACTTGGAGCAAGTCTGTTTTATATAAACAACCTTCACCCTCAACAGTCGCAAAAACAAAGGTGTTTACATAAAGTAGACTTATGCCAAAGAATCAATATACTTCTGTGGGAGTTTTCAGTAATCTAACCGTGTTTTCTAGAGATCTTCTGAAAAACCGATTTTCAGATTTTTTTCTCAGAAAAGTTTTTGCTTATGAAAATATGCTCCTGAGCCTTGGCTATAAAACCGTGAAAAGCGCAGGTCTGTATTTTGTTCCTATTAAAAGTTATTCCAAAAATAACCGAGTGCCTGGACTTCTGGAATGGACAATAGTTTCTTAAGCAGATTTATCTCGAAAACATCTGAAAATATGAAATTTTCAAGTAAAAATAACAGTTTGAAAAACTTTAAAAGTAACGAAAAAAATGTACGCAAAAACTTATTAACGCTTTGAGGGTAAGGTTGAGACTCACGTTGTTCTTATATTGATTTCATTAAATTAGTGCATATGAAAAGAAAAATCCTCAACAAAGGAGAAAAAAATCCACTCAAATAAAGAAATATTCGCCACCGAAGCATCATTTATATTTTACTTTTCTTATAACTATTTACATAAGTTGTAATTGATAAAGTATATTAGGTTTCATATATTCTCAGAGAACTTTATGCAAAATGGACCTCTCTTAGACCTTGGACATTGCTGAAAATTTTAGCATTCTATTACTTACAACAGGAAAAACTTCATCGACAATTTATCTTCACTTATTATGGAATAGACAAAATTGAGATCCAATTTTGAAGTGAAAACTTTTCTTTTGCTATTTTCCAAACGACCAATGTATACGCTAGTAAAACATGTGTTGAAATAGTGATAAGCAGTACTTCTCTCCACAGCAAATAGGAATTATCGATGTTCTTCTCCATAACATCAAAGGTGAAAAAGCAGCAGCATGGAAGTGTCTCTGTCTCCCTTATCCTTTTCTAAGAATTCAAATGAAACGAGAGATTCATTTCAATCGTTGGATGATCACATTTTCCTCTTTGTTTTAGTACCACTGCGTGGAAGTTTGGTGGATATTCATCCAAATGCCAAATGGAACAACAATGGACAAACGGTAGCAGGACAAAATCCGTCACTCTCTAAGCCCCAAGGTTTATATGTGGGTGATAATCAAACTGTTTATGTCGCTGATTATGGAAATCATCGTATTGTGGCATGGAAATCTGCTGAAACAAATGGACAAGTAGTGGTTGGTGAACATGGACAAGGGAACGATGCTCACCAATTGGATAAACCAACAGATGTGATTGTGGATAAAGAGAGAGATAGTCTCATTATTTGCGATCGCGGGAATAAAAGAGTAGTTCGATGGCCTCGTCAAAATGGAACAAGTGGAGAAACAATTATTTCGAATATCTCTTGTGTGGCTTTAACAATGGACGAAAATGGATCTCTCTATGCCACTGATTGGGATAAGGATGAAGTAAGACGATATCGAATGGGTGAATCTCAAGGAACAGTAGTGGCAGGTGGAAATGGACAAGGACATAATCTCAATCAGCTGAGTTTGGCCTCTTACATATTCGTCGATCGAGAACATTCAGTGTTCGTCTCTGATTTTTACAATCACCGCGTAATGAAATGGATAGAAGGTGCAAAAATAGGTAGTGTTGTCGCTAGTGGTCAAGGACAAGAAAATTATCGGACACAATTGCGTTATCCTAAGGGAGTCCTAGTTGATCAATTGGGTACTGTTTATGTGGCTGATGAACATAATCATCGAATTATCCGTTGGGCTAAAAAAGCAAAAGAAGGAGATGTTATTGTTGGTGGAGATGGTTATGGAGCACAAGCTAATCAACTCTATTTACCCAAGGGATTGTCATTTGATCGACATGGTAATCTCTATGTGGTCGATCAGGGAAACAATAGAGTACAACGATTTACAATTGAAATGCCATCGAATTAATGGAACTAACTGATAAATAAACCTTATTTATGTCACCTATTGATCGTTTGTTTGTAATTTTATCTGAAAGAAATAAAAGAATAATAACTGATTGATGTGACGATACGCGCATGCAACCAGAGGGACCCTGGTTGTTGAAGGTACCAAGGTCAATATCGGTAAAATAATGTACCTGCGTACATAAAGATCCTTCCATTATCTTTTTTCCAACAAAGAGTCTCTCTAGTTCGAATTAATGCGCAGCACAAGCATTAATTCGGCACTAAAAGAGAAGTATTCACTCACTTATACTCGATATAGAAAATGTATATTTTAGAATGGAAATCAATATACTACTTTTTCTGTTCCAATATAACAGTAATATACTTATTTCCGAAAAACAAAATAACATTTAATTTTGTGTTTTTTCATTCGAAAAAGATATTATTTAAACATCTTCAATTTGCTGTTAATTGCCGATTAAATGACTGTCAGATTTGGAACAGAAAGCATCATTTAATCGACAATTAACAACGAATTCAACATGAAAGAAAAGTAATTAATCGAATTTACACGGTGATTAATGAGAAATACTTTTTTTCCTTAGAATGACTAAATCATCGCCACAGTACCTCATTGAGACCCCTACATCTTCACTAATAAAAACAAGGGGGAAATAGCGTACTCCAGGACTCCAGGACTCCATTGGACTCCATTGGACTGCAATGGACTCCAATGGACTCCAGTCTTGTCTGAAGTTCAGCAATCCAAGCTATGATAAAATCTGCTGCTTATTGCCTTCAGATATCGGAAATAAAAAACAGACTATGCATTAACTGTCGATTAAAAATTTCCTTTTTTTACCATCACAATCTTTTGTAAACCCAGGTCAATCAAAACGGACCCGTTTGCAGTACGTTTACGGACCATAGTGACAAAACGGCACGTTTAC